CACTTGGCTCTCTGCTAGTTATCTACGTTGGTTTCTCCCTTGTGAATGACACTGAGAACAAATGATGGCTAAGGGAAACGTTTGTTCGAAGCGTTATTGTTTGTCCACAGGAACACATGAACCCGAAGTGAAAAGGCTCCCAACCCGAGACAAGCCAAAGCGTGAACCACACACTCTCCCCCATGTCACTCAGCCAACATCCTCTGTGGACGTCCCTGCACAGCATCTGGACTTTGGGGAAAAGCCAGATTCACATAATTCAAGAGGGGAAAAATTCACTTTAGCTCTTTTAATTAAATAAGTGATAGCTGGAGAGAAAAATTCTCAAAACTGAAATTTTAAAGTAAGTTATAAAATTCATTCTACCACAAAAAGGATAATAAAACTTAAAAAATTAAAAGTTATTGTATTAATTACTTTTCAATTGCTGTGATAAAGTACCATTGATATAGATATAACAGGATGAAAGGGTAGATTAATGAACCTACTTTTAAAGAGTAACAACTTGTTTAGAAATGTTTAACATTGCTATGGATTTTAGTTTATTGATACAAATTTAAAGTTAATTTTGTTATACTGTATATATTTCTATTCTCATTTGAGGTATTATGTTTATGTAACTCATTTAGACTGTAATGGATAATTAAGAAATACAGATTAATAATTAGTCTTCTGATAGTCAAACTTATAGTCATGTTGTTTTCTAGGTATGCATAGACATATTTCATATAGGTAGGTAATCTTCAAACACTTCAAAGACCTACAGAATATAGCATTTAAAATGTTTTAAAAATTTAGACTTTCTAGACAATGAGACATGTCTGCTCCAGGCAGCACCGATTTACTTCAGAGAGGAGGATGGGCATTGAAGACACTCCATATGGAGTTTATCTTCTTCTTGGCAAAAATAGCCATTTGGGCAAGAAACTGTTCTTGCCTGGACTGCTTGATCGACTGGACATGCAGGACCCATAGGAAGGTGATCACTGAACTTTGCTTGACAAAATGGTCCTTCAGGTTCCTGCTTCACAGAGGAAACTGCCAGACATTCTACAGAGAAATGACTGAGAGACTCCAGGCCTGTGGGCTGAAGACAGATGCCCCAACTTTACAAAGGAACATTAGGTGACTGTCCAGGCTGCCAGCTGTCTCTGTCTACCCTGCAAGACTCCTGAAAGTTGCTTGCACCCTTCTCCCATTTCTCAGATAATATTATATCCTTCTGAGGCCTTTGATGCAGTTGAAGCCAGATAGTTACAATTTTCCTTAGTTATGATAAAAGATAAGTTAGATATGAAACCTTAGACTCTCAAACATAGGATAGGATATCTTCTTTAATTTTGTCAAATACAAATAGACTAGACATTATAAATAGACTAGACAGTGTAACTATAATTCTAGCTTAATAATTGTTTTGTTATCTGTAATTTTGCTATGTGAAAGTTAAAACCTTGCTTTTTGAAAAAAAAAGAAAAGGGAAAGTGCTGTGGGATGTTCTGTATGTTAAATGTGTTGCTCTGATTGGTTAATAAATAAAACATTGATTGGCCAGTAGCCAGGCAGGAAGTATAGGCGGGACAAGGAGAGAAGAGAATTCTGGGAAGTGGAAGGCTGAGGCAGAGAGACACGCTGCCAGCCGCAGCCATGACAAACAACATGTAAAAGATACCGGTAAGCCACGAGCCATGTGGCAACTTATAGACTAATAGACATTGGGTTAATTTAAGATAGAAGAATTAGATAGCAAAAAGCCTGCCACGGCCATACAGTTTGTAAACAATATAGCTTTCTGTGTGTATACTCGGTTGAGTCTGAACTCTGAACGGCTATGGGACTGGCAGGTGAGAGAGATTTGTCCTGACTGTAGGCCAGGCAGGACTGGAAAACTCTAGCTATATACCATGACCAAGGCAATTTATAGAAGGAACAGTTTGAGGCTTATAGTTGCAGAGGTATAGGAGTCCATAATCCCCATGGCAGGGAGCATGGCAACAGGCAGACAGGCATGGCACAGGAGAGCTGCCGAGAGCTCACACCCAAATCCACAAGCAGGAAGCAGAGAACGTATCAGGTATGACATGAGTCTTTGGAAACCTCAAAGCCTACCACCAGTAACAGTCATCTCCCAACAAGGCCACACCTCCCAAACAGTTCCACCAATTGAGGATCAAACATGCTAATATCAAGCCTATGGTGACCATACTCATTCAAACTGCCACCAGGTATTTTCATTATTTTATATGTATGGTTATTTTGTCTGCATGTATGTCTGTACACAATACGAGTGCCTGATGCCTATAGACGCCAGATCCCCTACAACTAGAGTTGCAGACAGTTATGACCCATCATGGTGGTGCTGGGAATCAAACCCAGGTCCTTTGCCAGAGCAGCCAGTGTTCTTAACTGCTGAGCTATCTCTCCAGTCCATGGACCATAACTAAGTCCTATATATAGAACATTACCTGAACTTCTTTTAATGTTTGAATTCAAATCGAGCACACATTTAACAACCCATTTATTTCCAACAAAGAAGGTTCTATAGGAAAACTATATTTTATTTAGACAGAGGAGAAAGTAGTCCACCTCTAGCTGAGATGCTATTGGTATTTGATAGCTGCTGGCAAAGGAGGAGTCAATTTTCTTTCATGCTATGACCTCTGGTATATCAACCACATTCCAGGGTAGGCCCTATACCCAAGGGTAGTTGTCCAATATAAACTGGACTCAGGAGAGAGAGAGAGAGAGAGAGAGAGAGAGAGAGAGAGAGAGAGAGAGAGAGAGAGAGAGAGAGAGCACAAAATTGGGTAGGCAGGGAGGTTGAGATAGAAATGGGAGACATTGAGAGGGTGGTGAATATGATCAAAACACATTATATAAAATTCTCAAATATTATTTTAGAAGGGAAATTTGCAGATAAATGGATAAAACTGGAAACAATCATCCTGAAGGAAACCTCAGACCCAGAAAAACAACACACACACACACACACACACACACACACACACACACACACACACACACACCTCAATGTGTTTTCTTTCAGTCATGTGTGGATCTTACTTTGATCCTTCAGATATATGTTTCTATTTGGAATACCCATGGAAGTAAGGAAATGAATGAGGGACATGGGCGGGAACTGAGAGAGCGCAGTGTTATAAGAGGAAGAAGGCAAAAATGGAACAAGAAGGGTTAAATGAGGTGGGATGGGAAAAGAAGGCAAAGGAAGGAGTATCTACAGGGATAAGTCTAGATGAAACCTTCTGGAAAAGCCATACGGAAACCTAGTACTAAAGAGGCTTCCTAAAATATATGCATATACATATATAAAAAGAGTTTAGATAAAGTTACCCCACAGCAGGATGACAATATCTCTACTAAATCCCATCTGATACCAAGTAAAAATCTCAATACCAGGAATGGGTAACCTCCTTTTGAATTGGTGGCCAGTGGGATGCCACAGACCCCCAAATATTACATGGTATTGTCACTGTTCTTGGTAGTAAAACCCTACTGTTGAAGACCACATACTTGATTCATAGAACATGAAGATATTAGTCCCTACTGGCTAGCTTTATAGCACGGGGAAGTGCTATGCAAACTACTGGAAGAGAAAAGTAATCATCAGTCTTACCCAGTCATGGATCCTGCAAACTATGATAGTAACCTGCCTGGCAAGATATGCCTATTGGTGCAATTTGTGACAAAGATGGTATAAGAATAACTTAAATCAAAACATGAGGTGGTTGTAACCATTTAAGTACACTCCACAAGATGATACCATTATGAGGGTTAATCTGTGGCTAGACAAGTCATAGACCCTAGGAGAGAACCTACTACTATTATTCTGCTAAATGGACATACTATTAAATTAACTCCTAATGATTTATTGTAATATCCATAGGTTAGTAGACCTCTCAGTGCTCATCAGAGAAACTTCTTCCAGTAGATGATGACTTAACACAGACACCCACACTGGTCAAGGTACAAAGAGTAAGAAATTGCAGAATGCTTAGCCTTAAATGGGACATCTGTGTCACATCCCCTTCTTTAAGGCTCAAGGATCACTGGGAAAGATGGAGCAGAAAAATCATAAGAGCTAGAGGTAGCAGTTGAGTACAAGAAAATGTTTTCTAGATACGATGGGCAGTTGCACATATGATATGAACTAACAGTGATCGTGATAATATGGACAAGACCTGCACAAGTTTAAGCTAGACAAAATCCCAGCATGAAAAGGAGAGGTAGGTACAAAATCCCACCATTAGCTTAGGAGTTATTGGCAATTGATTGCTACTGGGAGACAGAGTATCAGGTTTTCTTGTTTGTTTTGTTTTTTAAGGGTGGGGCTCTTGGTAAGTGAAACACACTCCAGGGTATCCACACAGCCAAAAGTCTAAGGGCAGCACAAACTGAATTTGACAGGTGCGTGCATATGTGCATGCGCGCACACACACACATGTGGGTGGGTAGAGGAGTTGAGGTAGGAGGTTGAATATGATCACAATATACTATCCAGAAATCCACAAGAACTAATAAAAAAGAAAAAGATTGATTGATTAAGACAGGGTCTCATTATATAGCCCTAGCTGGCTTAGACTCTCTATGTAAACTAGGCTGGCCTCCAACTCACAGAGATACACCTGCCTCTGACTCCTAAATGCTGGGATTAATGCTATGTACCACCACCATAGGTTTAAAATATGTTTTGTATTCCCAAGAATAAGTGATATAAATTACAGGAGCTTTTTATCAGTCAGTTGAGTCTTTTAACTAAAAATAAAGAAATACCATATACAACAGAGATTCCTTAAGTTAAAATAAACAACAGCATGTGTTTTGTACACATATGTGGGAAATGCCTAATATGTAAATGAAATGAAGTAAGCACACATGTTTCTATAATAAAAGCTGAGGGATTTAAACTCCCTGAGCACATTTGACAAAACCTGCCCAGAAAATTACTCTAAGTGTCTCTTAGGTGACACAGAAATTTTCTCCAATGATTTAGATATTTTTATTGACCTTTTGTTCTTCAGGACCTCACTCAAAAAAGCTTTTTGAATTTGTAAACAATAAACTTTTAAGCATATTGTTACTGTCCTCGGAGATATCTCATTTCTTCAGCTCTTCGTGTACAGGTGGGCTACTGGAGGCGTTAGCCTGGAGTGCTTCTGTGTCCTCCTTTAAAGCAGACTCAGCAGGTTCTGGGTGTTCCCACGCACTGGATTTCACAGCATGCGCTGCATAGTTAAGGCTGGTATTTTCACTCCAATGCCAGTAACCTGAAAAGGGATTGTAGATCATTCCTGCCACAGTTTGAACTGGCAGACCATCTAAAAAAAAAGTCAGAAATTGGACTCAATAAATATTTACCATTCAAACCACAAGAGTCTACAGTAATTCTTCAAAAATTCCTAATTTAATGAACAAAAGTACTTTGCAGTCATGCCTGGATCATACTTAACTGCAGGTGAGAATACATACTCCAAAGCAGAGGACTGGGGTCAAAGGCCTGCTCTGATCCTACTGTAATGGTGACCCTTTCTGAATGCCACATACAGATCACGTGTCTTGCAGCATTGGAATTAGAGGAGATATGTCTAAAATAGCTCAGTGCTTAGAATTTTCTAAGTTCTTAACAAATAGTAGATGTCACTTGAGACTATCTGTCAACAAGAGATTGTCTCCATAAGGAATCTTCATTGGTTTGTTTTCCCTTTTATTTGCTGAGACAGGGCCTCATCTTGTTTGAGACTAGCTTTTTCTAATACAGGCTTTCTATGTAGCCCAGGCTAACTTGAATACCCAGGCCTCCTGTTACAGCCTTTCAAATGCTGGGATTACAAGTATGCACTACTAAGCTCCAAAAATATTCTTTAAAATATCCATTTTCTAGTCTCTTTTCAACAAAATTACAAGGCATCTCTAAAAGCCACCACACTGCCTTGAACTGACAATATTTTAATTAAAAGAGTTTGTTAGTGCACTTTTGTTAACAGAAGCATGGGAAATGGCGACTAAGTACTCAGCAAGACCTCCAAGACGCCAAGCAGGTGAACTAAGAAACATCACTTAACAGAGGTCAACAAACAAAGCTTTTACTGTGCCAAAGCATGGTGAGGCACAGTGTAGAGTACAAAAAGGAGGTTATGGGCTAGAAAAGAGTGAAGAAATGCGAAAATTACACACAATCATCTTAGAAGATCAAGTGTGAATACGTACTCCAAAGCACACTGCTGTGTTCAAATACCAACTCTGACATCCATCATGGTGACCCTTGGTCACTTATGCAGGTACCAGAAATACATAAGAAATGACATGAAAGTTGAAAAGACATCTAAGTACGGAAGATTCCGGAGAAATCATAAGATAAATTGAGATAAGCAGGGTTCACCAGGAGAAACTGAGCATGAATAAGTAATACACATTGACACCCATCCTTAAACAAATGAAGATTCGACTAGCCAGGAAAGGGTTTACTGATCATCGCTCAAGGCTAAGCGCCAGTCGGAAGTGGTATCGACTCCATAATTATCATTTCAAAGAGTTTAAGACATAACTGAAGAGATTAAGCTAACATCTGAAAAAATGGCAACATGTTTAAATAAGTGCTAGATTATTAGGTTAATAATTATACATGCAATAAAGGTTCACACAGGACTGGAAAACAATCTTGATACTTACTTGGTTCCAGAATACTCTCTAGCTTTTCAGGTGAAACAAACTTCTCCCAAGTGTGAGTGCCTTTTGGAACAATGCCCGCGATTTGCTCTGAGAAAACAATGCCCAAGGCGTAGGACAGCTGTGTTTTGTTGAGTGTAGTAACGAAGAGCGAGCCACCAGGCTAAGGGAGGAAGTGGATATGTAAGTAAAACAGTGGAGGTGAAGTATAAGAAGTTAGGAGCAACTGCCAGGTAAAGGCTTACCTCCCCTCTCTCCTTCTTTCCAAATGATTTAAGAACAAACAAGCTATGTAAGTAGACATAAAACAGAATTTACCAAAGAGCATTTTTTTCTCTCTTGGGAAAATCTCCTATTACAGTTAATCTATTACAGACACAGTCACTACGTCTACACATCACACACAGCTTTCAACTCAAAATTCTTTTTTTTTTTTGTTTTTTTGTTTTTTTGTTTTTCGAGACAGGGTTTCTCTGTGTAGTTTTGTTGCCTGTCCTGGATCTCACTCAGTAGACCAGGCTGGCTCTGCCTCCGGAGTGCTGGGATTAAAGGCGTGCGCCACCACCACCCGGCTCAAAATTCTTTCATTGCGCCGGGCGGTGGTGGCGCACGCCTTTAATTCCAGCACTCGGGAGGCAGAGCCAGGCGGATCTCTGTGAGTTCGAGGCCAGCCTGGTCTCCAAAGCGAGTTCCAGGAAAGGCGCAAAGCTACACAGAGAAACCCTGTCTCGAAAAACCAAAAAAAAAAAAAAAAAAAAAAAAAATTCTTTCATTGCTATTACATAATGATATATACTCTTTTATATGGACTAAATACTTCGTCAAGGTTGACACATGTCTACATTTACATTCTGCCTTTTATTGAAAATACATTTTTTTCATACAATACATTCTTATTACTGTTCTCCCTCCTCCTCTCTGCTCCTCCCCCACCTCCCCTCCATCCAGATCCACACCCTTTCTGTCTCTTGTTAGAAAGCAAACAGGCGAGAGAGAGAGAGAGAGAGAGAGAGAGAGAGAGAGAGAGAGAGAGAGATGCTGCCAGCCGCCACCATGACAAGCGAGATGTAAGGTACCAGTAAGCCACGAGCCACATGGCAACTTATAGACTAATAGAAATGGGTTAATTTAAGATATAAGAACAGCTAGCAAGCCTGCCACGGCCATATAGTTTGTAAATAATATAAGGGTCTGTGTGTCTATTTTATAAGTGGGCTGTCAGACTGCCGGGGCTTGGCAGGACCCGGAGAGGAAACTCCAGCTACATACATGGTGGTGCGCATGTGTAATCCCAGCATGGAAGAGGTAGAGACAATGGGCTCCCTGAGGCTTCCTGGCTGGCCAGTCTAGACTACTTGGCAGGTTCCAGATCAGAGAAAAACACCTGAGGTTGACCTTTGACCTTCAAACACTCTCTCTCTCTCTCTCTCTCTCTCTCTCTCTCTCTCTCTCTCTCTCTCTCTCTCTCTCTCTCTCTCTCATGCATGCACACATGCACACTCAAACCTCCATATCCATACACAAAGGAAGGGAATTTTATCCAGGCTGGTGCACACACCTGTAATCCTGGCACTTGGGAGGCAGAGGCAGGAAGTTCAGGAGTTCAAGGCCAGAGTAGGAGGGAAGGACAGGGAAAAGGAAAGGAGGGGAGGGGAGGGAAGGGGAGAGGAGGGGAGGGGAGAGGAGAGGAAGGCAAGTAAGGATGTCCTGATATGACTGTTCCATAGCACAGACTGATCCAGTCAGAGACATGGCTGCTCAGATGCTCCATTGCTAGGAGCCCCTAGGTCAAGAGCCACATGGGGACAGAGGCCCGACTTCAGTCAGGAGGGCAATAAGCTCTGGGGGGAAAGGTGACGGTGCTGGAGTCCTGGCCTGTTCAGCAGTGTACTCTGTGTCCTTCTCCACTACAAAAGCAGAATCAATGAGCAAATATAACACAGAGCCCCCTTGCTCCAAGAGACTAGTGTTTTGAAAAAAAAGAGAGAGAGAGCCAGGAAAGGCAAAGGTCAGCCAGGCACAAGGGCCGTGAGCATTTGACTGATGTAGTCAGTGTGATAGTAATGAAAAAAAAAAAAAAAAAGATTGTTGCTTTAGAGATGTAGACTGGGGTTTATAAAGCCAGCTACGGGCTGAGATTTGCTCCAAAAATCCTCAAAAACTAAGAAAGAATAGTGTGGCTTTTGTGGCAGGAACCTGGAGATCCCAGCAACTACTGAATGTGATCATGGACTTGTGGGGTTTGAGTAACTTCTAGAACATGTACAGAATAAAAACATTTATACAGAGCAGCATCCTAAGGGAAAGTAAACCCCACGGCAGGGGGATGGCTGCAGGAGAACTTAGAGCCAGTGTCTTGTTCCAGTTGCCATAAGAGCTATGAGAAGATTTCATAGGGAAAGGTGGATCTCAGCTCCCTGTTCATAAGGGCAGCTCATCACTGTGGCAGTCAGAGCCTAAGGCAGCTGCTCACACTGTGCCCAGTGAAGAGCAGAGGGATGGATAGGGCACCGCTCACACTGTGCCCAGTGAAGAACACAGGGATAGAAAGGGCACCACTCACACTGTGCCCAGTGAAGAGCAGACAGGGATGGATTGATGCATTCAGTCTGCTTTCTCCATTTTATACCATTTGGGGTCCCATGAAGAATCAAGAAAGGGTTCATCTGTTATGGGCCACAAAACCAACATAATCCCCTAGAGGTCCTTCTCCTGGTGTCTCTGGATTCTGTCAAGTTGATAGTTAACACTAACCCTCACAAGTCAGCCTGGAATTCTCAAGTTCTGGCAAAGACCGGAGGGTCACAAGTGTGAGGCCAGCCTGTACTGTACATACATCAAGATTCACCTCCGGCCATAACTCAGCACTCAGGAAGCAGATACAAGTAGTGGTCTGTAAGTTTGAGACCAGCCTGGTCTACCTAGCAGGTTCTGGGCCAGGCAAGGCTACATAGAAAGACCCTGTCTCCAAAAAAAAAAAGCAAACAATGTCTTGAAAATATATGGTTTCAAAATATTTAAAAAAAAAAAAAGAAAGCAAACAGGCATCTAAGGAATAAAATAAACTAAAAACAAATAATCAGAATATCACAAAACAGCCAAGCAGGAAAAAGAGCCAAAGAAAACGCACAAGAAACAAATACAGATGCAGAGACACATGCTCACACACACAGGATCCCACAAAAAATCAAAACTGGAAGCCATAATACATAATGCAAAGGACCTGTAAGGTTAAAAAAATGCACTGACTTAACACTGAGAGACAAAGAACCTTCAAAGATGCCACTGAATTTGCTTTGTGACCAGCCTACTGCTGGGCATGGGGTCTACCCTTAAAAGTGGTTTGTTTCCCCAGCAAGACTCCCTTGGAGAAAACTAATTTTTCATTTGCAAGTGGCTATCAACTGGAGAGAGCGTTTGGGTTAAGAATGTGTGTGTGTGTGGGGGGGGGGGGGGGTGCTGGAGAGATGGCTCAATGGTTAAGAGCACTGGCTGCTCTTCCAGAGACCCAGATTCAATTCCCAACACCCACATGGCAGCTCACAACTCTCAGTAACTACAATTCCAAGTGATCCAACACCCTCACATAAATATACATGCAGGTAAAACACCAATGCACATAAAATAAGAATAAATAAATTATTTTTTAAAAAAAGAATGGGTGTGTCTGTCTACTTCTTTCAGCTCTAGGATCCCATCTGGTGCAGACCTATGCAGGCCCAGGCCCTGGGCATCTGGTGCAGACCTATGCAGGCCCTGTGCATGCTGCCACAGTCTCGGTGAGTTCTTATGTGTGCCAGCTTTGTTGTGTCTAGAAGGCCTTGAGTCCTTGGTGTCCCCTTAACATACAGAGGTCTTCCATGTTTTCTCTCAGGTGATATGTCTAATGTGGTTGGTACAACATTCACCTATACATCCTGTGCTAAGGAGCACTACCAACAAATACTCTCTGACAAAAACATTAATGATTAAGGTTCAAGAATTTTTTTGTTTTTATTTATATAAAGATTATGAAGGGGTCAAGATAAACACTTAGATGAAAGCAAATCATTTATGTGAGTATTTAGTCTGCCTATGTAAAGACAATGTTTATATTTTCTATGTTTATTCCCAAAAGAGCAAGGAAGATAATGCCCCTCTTTTTGCCCAGTCTCATTAGCCAAATGAGGATAAAATGCTACACCAAAATCACCTTATGAGTCTCTCTCTCTCCATTGATTGAAATAGATAGATAGATGATAGATGACAGACAGGTAGATAGATCGACAGATGATAGATTGATAGATGATAGATAGCTGTGGGATGGTCTGTATGTCAAATGTGTTGCTGATTGGTCAATGAATAAATCACTGATTGGCAGTGGCCAGGCAGGAAGTATAGGCGGGACTAACAGAGAGGAGAATTGAGAGAACAGGAAGCTGGGTGGGGGAGACACTGCCAGCCGCCATGATGACAAGCCGCATGTAAAGGTGCCGGTAAGCCACAAGCCATGTGGCAAGGTATAGATTAATAGAAATGGATTAATTTAAGCTGTAAGAACAGTTAGCAAGAAGCCTGCCACGGCCATACAGTTTGTAACCAATATAAGTCTCTGTGTTTACTTGATCGGGTTTGAGCAGCTTGGGACTGGCGGGTGAGAGAGCTTTGTCCTGACTGTGGGCCAGGCAGGAAAAGTCTAGCAACAAATGATGTCCAACGTGGTGGCAAGAGTTTCCACCTAAAACCTGAGGAAAAAATTCTAAAACGGAGCTAAAAACAGCTTCCTAATTGTCTCTCTCAAATGAGCGGCAGCTGCCGGTTTGAGCTACTGGCGGGTTGCTGGCGTGCGTGCTCGACCTGCCGCCTTATATATAGCGGGAATGAGGCCTCTGCAAGTGGCACATTAAGCTACATTGTGCATTTAGCCTTTGCTAGTACAAAACAAAAAAAGAGGTTTCTGGGGTACACGCTGCTTGGATAAAAGCATAGACCCACGATAGCTCCCAGAGCTGGTGGTAAAGTACCACGCCATGTTGGGAAGCTGAGGTGGGCGGAGCCAGCAGCCATAGCTGCTGCAGCTTAAAGCAATAGATTCACAATAAGACAGATTCAGATGTAATAGTTTACAATGTGTGTAAAAAATACGTAGGCTTGAAAGAGACAAAAAAGGTGATATATACAGTATAGAAACAAATACATGGTTTTAAAAAATAAAGTCTTTAAAGAGACAGTAAAATTAATATAAAAAATAAGCCACGTGAAGATGAATATTACACAGAGAATCTGGATTGTGTTGTCTTTGGGATTTTTAACTGCAGAAAAACATTTGATTGTAAAAGCTGTTGAGTTATGCCAAAATGTATATTTTAAAGGTACTTTGACTTCAAAATTTGGATATAAGGATATGTTGCTTTGGAAAGGAGATTCTGCTTTTGTTCCCAAAGAAAGCCAGAGGCTATGGATTTGTTCCAGATTAAGATACATCAGGTTTGACCAGCCAAGACCCCCTGAAAGGTGACACCAAGGCCCAGATGATCCAACATCTAGAATGGTTTCAAGGCAACTGGCTTAGACGATACAGCTTCACGGACTACTCCATGATCCTAAAATTTTCTTTGTTTCCCCAGAAGATACAGTGCCCCCCTCCAGCAGGAAGTAGTAAGAGAAGCTACGCCCAAATTCCCAAATATACCAAGCTGACTTTGGAGATGTGTAAATGTTAAAACCTTCCTTTTTAAGAAAAGAAAAGGGGAAGTGCTGTGGGATGGTCTGTATGTCAAATGTGTTGCTGATTGGTCAATGAATAAATCACTGATTGGCAGTGGCCAGGCAGGAAGTATAGGCGGGACTAACAGAGAGGAGAATTGAGAGAACAGGAAGCTGGGTGGGAGAGACACTGCCAGCCGCCATCAGGACAAGGAAGATGTAAAGTACCGGTAAGCCACGAGCCATGTGGCAAGGTATAGATTAATGGAAATGGATTAATTTAAGCTGTAAGAACAGTTAGCAAGAAGCCTGCCATGGCCATACAGTTTGTAACCAATATAAGTCTCTGTGTTTATTTGGTTGGGTCTGAATGGCTGTGGGACTGGCGGGTGTCAGAGATTTGTCCTGACTGTGGGCCAGGCAGGAAAGCTCGAGCTACACCCCTCTTTTTGCCCAGTCTCATTAGCCTAATGAGGATAAAATGCTACACCAAAATCACCTTATGAGTCTCTCTCTCTCTCCATTGATTGAAACAGATAGATAGATGATAGATGACAGACAGGTAGATAGATCGACAGATGATAGATTGATAGATGATAGATAGCTGGACAGACAGACAGACAGACAGATAGATAGATAGATAGATAGACAGATAGATATAGATAGATAGATGATAGATCATAGATGATAAATGATAGATTGATAGATGACTGACAGATGATAGATGACAGATAGATAGATAGATAGATAGATAGATAGATAGATAGATAGAAAGATAGATAGATAGATAGACAGCTATTGTGTATATAGAGTAAGAAGAAGAGCAATTTTTAATAACACCCTAGATCCAAACTAAGAAAGAAGACAAAAATACTAGGGTATGCATATTACTACATGTTGTAGTTCCTCTCTGTAAACTCTAGTATTTTAAATCTTACTAAGAATCATTTAAGAGTATTTCATCTGTGTTCTGTAGTATCACACTTCATAGTGATAGTGGTAAGCAATGTTTTTTTTTCAAACATAGGGTCTCCATTAAAAACAAAATTAGATTTAAGTTTACAGCATCCACATTCCTTGTATATGTCAAAGAATCTCCATTCAGATATATATACTGATACAAACACAAAAACTAATAATTAAAGATTTTTACTTGGAAAATAGGAAATGAACCTAATAAAATTCCATTTAAAAGGAAGCATTTCCCTTTTATCCCAGCACTTGGGAGGCAGAGGCACACACAGATCTCTCAGTTTGAAGCCAGTCTGGTCTACAGAGTGAGCTCCAGGACAGCAGGGCTATGTATCTGGACCAGTGAGATGGCTCAGAAGGTAAAGGCACCTGACACAAGCCTGATGACCTGACTCCATCCCTGGGACCTACATGATAGGAGAGAATCAACTCCCTCAAGCTGTCCTCTGACCTCATTGCATGATCTATAGCTTGAGCACACACACACACACACACACACACACACACACACACACACACACACACACACAAATTAAAAAGTAATGAAAAGGTATAAAAATGTCCAAGATGGAAGGTGATTAAAGAGACACCGTAACTAATGCAATACAAAAGCCTAGGTTGGATACATAATGGGAAAAATAATATCAGGGGAGAAACTGATAAGCCTAGCAAGTTCTCTATGCATTAATAAGGCAGTGCCACTATCCGTGTCTGTCTTTAGATATGTACCAGGAGTTATGTGCAGGAAAAGGACATTGGAGAGGTAAGTGAGGAGCCTGGGGCACACAACTGAAGTCAGCACATGCATTCAGGGCATACAGTGATGGGTGGGCATCTGAAAGGAAGTGTACCCTTCAACGTGGGGCCCTAAGTACCTAGGTTGACACATCTTAGTTTCTATCCATATGTAAGCTGTTAACACAGCAATTCTCAACATGTGGGCTGTGATCCCTTTGGCAAACCTCTATCTCCAAAGATATTTACATTACAATTAAACAGTAGCAAAATTATAATTATGAAGTAGCAATAAAAACTATTTCATGGTTGGAGGTCACCATGACATAAGAAAATGCATGAAAGGGTCACAGCATTACGAAGGTTAAGAGCCACTGTGTTAATACATGGGAAAAACAGGTGACGGCAAAATCATTCTGCAATGGTTTTTTATTTGCAACTCTTCTGTAAATTCACAGTTATTTTACTATAAAGCCTTCTGCTCTGGCCAGCAAAGCAGGCAGGCTAACGGCAGATCTTCACCGCTCCTTCAGTTCTTCCAAATGTAGTCCCTCATCTCATCCCCAGCTCTGCAGCAGACCACTTGCTTTGATCTCCCTTCCCTCCCTATCCCCATCTCCAGTGGATCACACAGCTTTTCCCTCCCAATCTCACTCCCCAACTCACTGCTCTGTCCCAGTCCCCAATTCCAGCAGACATTTCCTGGGAACTTCAGTCAGCAAAGCAGGCAGCTACCTGCAGATCTTCACCTCTCTCCTCCTCCTCCTCCAAGTCCTCATCCCCAGCCCTGTAGCAGACCTGCTGTGGTCTCTCTTCACTCTCTACCCCACTCCCAGGGGACTAAGCAGATCCTAGTGGAACACCCTGCTTTCCTCCCTCCTGAGGACTCCATCTCCCACACACACTCCTAGCCCATCCCCATTTCTATGTATCAGCTTCTAATACCTGGAATCCTCAGTGGCCACACCTATCAGGATCCCAGAAGAATTTCCTACCAGGCAACACACAGTCACCACACTTGCCTAAGAACTAGAGAGGAAACAGAAACCTAAGAACAAAAAAAGAAACCACCCAACAAAGACAAGAACAGGTATCAACACCTAGAATTATAATCTTCCCAATCCCACATGTCTAGATGCCAGTGTAAAAACACAATCAATAACATCCAGGACAGTATGTCTCTACTAGAGTCAGCAAGCCTAAGACAGAAGGCAATGAGCATTGTCACACAACTGAAGAACAAGAAAAAGACCTTAAAACAGCCTGTATAAATATGACAGAGGGCCATAAAGAGGAAGTGAATAAATTCCTTAATGAAATCTATGAAAACATAAACAGTAGAAGGAAATGAATAAAACAGTCAAAAATGTGAAAGTAGAAATAGAATCAATAAAGAAAATGAAAACTGAAGGAAATCTGGAAACGAAAAATTTAGGAACTCAAACAGGAACCTCAGAGGCAAGCCTCACCAACAAAATACAAGAGATGGAAGACAGAATCTCACACATTAAAGACAAAATAGAAGAAATGGATACCTCAACCAAAGACAATATTAAATATAAAAATCTCCTGGCACAAAAAACATCCAGGAAATTTGGGACACTATGAAAAGACCAAATCCAAGAATAATACAAATAAAGGAAGGAGGAGAAACACAGGTCAAAGGCACAAAAAATATTTTCAACAAAATCATAGAAGGAGATGCCTATCAAAGTAAACAAGCATATAGAACACTGAGTTGACTCAGCCAGAAAAGAAAGTTCCCTCAGTACATAATAATCAAAACATTAAATGAACAAACAAGGAAAGAATATTAAATGCTACAAGGGAAAAAGACCAAGTAACATATAACGGCAGACCTATTAGAATAACACCTGCTTTCCCAACAAAAACTCTAAAAGCCATAGAGACCTGGATAGATGTGCTGTAGACTGTAAGAGACACAGATGCTAGCCTAGACTATTATGCCAAGCAAAACTTTCAATCATCATATATGGGGAAAATAAGACAGTCCATGATAAAATCAAATTTAGCAATACCTATATGCAAATCCAGCCCTACAGAAGGTGCTAGAAGGAAAACTCCAACTTAAAGAGGTTAGCCAAGAAAACACAAGGAATAAAAAAAACAGCAAATCAAAAAAAGGAAAACACACACCACCACCACCATTGCAATAATAACAAGAATCAACAAAGACTGATCATTGATATCCCTCAACATAAATGGTCTCAACTCCCCAATAAAGACACAGATTAACAGAATGGATGTGAAAACAGGATCCATCTTTTGGCTACATCTAAGAAACACACCTTAACATCAGGGTTAGACATCACCTCAGTGTAAAAAGATGGAAAAAGGTGTTTCGAGCAAATGGACCTAAAAGTAAACTATTATAGCCATTTCGATATGTGACAAAATAACTTTGAACCAAAACTAACCAGAAGAGATAAGGAAGTATACTACATACTAATCAAAGGGAAAATCTACCAAAAGGTCTTGGCAATTCTAAACATCTATGCACCAAACACATGGGCACCCAAATTCATAAAAGAAACACTACTGCAGCTTAAATCACATGCTGACCCTCACACAGAGATAGTGGAGGACTTCGGTACTACACTCTCACCAACAGACAGGTCATCCAGACAAAAGAGGACTGCTGGAGTTAACTGACATTATAAACCAAATGGACCTAACAGATAGTAAAGAACACTTCACCCAAACACAAAAGAATATACCCTCTCCTCAGTACCTCATGGGACTGTCTTCTAAACTGACCACATACAGGAATACACAAAGCATGTCTCAACATAAACAAGGAAATTGAGTCAGGCAGTGGTGGTGCACACCTTTGATCCCATCACCCAGGAGGCAGAGGCAGGCAGACCTCTGAGTTTGAGGACAGCCTGGTCTACTGAGTAAGTTCCAGGACAGCTAGACAGAGAAATGCTGTCTCAGGAGAAAAAAAAAAAAAGCCAACTCTGTCTTACTTTTAATACTTGACAGCAGCACTGTACGAACAATTCAAGGTCAATCACATGTTCCACAACTTCAGAAGCCACAACAGCATCAAAAACTTCTGCAGCCTCGTTCACAATCTCCTCCAGGGAACACACTTTGTACTGTATCCTCTTATCCAGGACCGGATCAAATGACTTATGGTGCTGTGCTATCTTAATGTTTTCAGCCACGGGATCGATTCCGGTAACTGAAGCCCCCAGTCGCCCTAGAGGCTAATGGCAGAAAAATTGTTATGCTCAAGAAGAAAATAGAACACATGGTAGCAATAAAAAGTTTTTCTAAAACGGTTATCCAATACCAAGTGGTCAGTCCTAAAATCATACATATGCTAACAACACTAAATAGAATCAGCGGGAGCAGGAGGTTGTATTCATATATTTATTCTAATGCCTATATGTAACAATAATAACTTTTTTAAAGAGGCCATAGGTTTGACATGGGAGATATGGGTGTGGAGTGGAGGGAGAAGGAAGGGAGAAAAATGATGTCAATACAGTATACATACATAAAATTTTTTAAAAATTAATTTAATTCTTTAGTAATTCAAAACTGCTATTTCATGTTTCAAAAGGCAGCATATAAAATACTAAAACTATCACAGAAAATATCCATCAAAGATTAGATTGTGATGTCAAAGGTCCCTGCATTGATGAGGACTATAAGACATAGCTGTAAGACATAAACATTCCTCCCAGGGACAATGAGCACACATTTAAGTACCCTAGAGCACCTAAAAGGTGATCCCCACAAGTAGCAAAACTCTTGCCAGCTTTATTTGAGATGTGTAAAAGGACAGACTAAACCTGTACTTAATCTCATAGAAATTACCTAATTTCTTGGAATAGAAGAGATCAAACAAAGCCATTTATTGGCCCATGCCCATTTATTAAAAACAAAACCCAAAAAACTTCAGTAGTTGTCCGAAAATTAGTGTTTTCAATTTTGAAAATACAACTTTTATAATAATATTAAAATTAGTACTATTCAAAATAAACAATGTATTTGTTAAAAGGATAAATGAAGCAGAAGGTCACTTCTCAATTTTTTGCAGAGTTAAAAACAAAATTTTGATCAAAACACATGAAATGCATGTATAAAATTCCCAAGCTGTTTGATGAACTGGACATGGTTTGAAATGGATCGTTTCTGTAAACATACTGACATGATCTACTTAGTTACTGTTGGAATGATTTGCAGAATTTAGTTACTTTTCCTAGCACTATTAGGCACACGAAGCAATGCTCCTGTCCATGAAGAATGGAAAAACACTGTAAGGCACTTACTTCTGTTAATAAGCCACCGCCACAGCCAACGTCAAGAATCTTCATCCCAGACAAAGGCTTTCCTGGATGGTGATTAGCACTTTTTTTCAAAAGATTATCTCTTTAAAAACAAAATTTTAAATATATAAAAAGAGATGGCTACTTTTATCAATAAAAGTTTTAAAATATACACTCTTCAAGGAAATATTAACCTCATTTAATTTAGTTTGCTTATTCAGCTGTCTTACTTGGAGATCGGGACTCACTCCAAGGCTCAGACATGCCCTGAGTCCCTAGTCTTCCTTCCTCAGCCAGCTTCCTGAGTTCTGGGATCACAGGCCTGTTGCCACCATGCCTAGTCTGGAATCCTAATTTGAAATGAATCACTGAGGTTTTTATAAACATCTTTTTTTTAAAAAAGATTTATTTATTTATTATGTATACAGCATGTATGACTGCAGGCCAGAAGAGGGCACCAGATCTCATTACAGATGGTTGTGAGCCACCATGTGGAAGCTGGGAATTGAACTCAGGACCTCTGGAAGAGCAGTCAGTACTCAACCTCTGAGCCATCTCTCCAGCCCATAAACATTTTTTATTTTCAGAATTAAATGACTTAATTGGACATTTTCAATAAGCAAAGTTCTGAAATAACCCAGCATTAATCTATTATTGTTTTAGTAATACTGTAAAGAATAATTTCAAACTAATCTAGTACAAATGAACATAACTTTACTCAAATACTTTTTCAATAAAATGTCTCAAGAATATGAATGAAAAATTTACACCTTCTGTTGGCTATGTCAGAGGCTCCTAGGTCAACTTCATGAGTTATTTTACAGATTAAAAAAGCAGATGGAGTCCCACGTTTATTTAAGTTGTCTATATTCCCATCTTTATTATGTCTCTTTTCGTCTCCTAAACTAATGGGGCTTTTTCACATATGACTATGTACACAGACACCAAAATCAAGTGAACTTACTCTAGTATAATCATTGTATATAAAAATCATTATATAAATACAATACTTTACCATACACACAACCTAGGTGCACATGCACCTACATAATCTGATACACACTATAGTATAATATTATAAATGAAGCTTAAAACTGGATGTATAATTTAATTATACTTAAACTAAAATCAATATATATATAATGGACATCTTAGGGTATCTAGTATTGATAGTAAAAGTAACTAAACTCTTAAAATAATCCAGACAATAGCAAAGTAGATCACTTCAGGACATTATACAGAATGATCCGTTCCAAACGAAGTCCAATCCATTCTTCCAACAGCCACAGAATGACTCTGCTACCATTTTCAGACCGTGCAGTTTCCTTCTGATGGCTTCTAGTCATGATGAAAACAAAATCCAAACATGCAACCACAGCTTGCAGCACACTGGGTGGTCTGTTTTATGTGATATATAAATAAAGATGTCACAGTAATTTGACTGTAGTTCTCAAACCTGGGAACACTGGAATCACCTAGAAGACTTGCTGAGACACAAACTGCATCAATGACAAGCCCTCTGAACTCTTTCTTGCCTTTCTTCATCTCCCACTGACACACATGGTCCACGTTTTGTGCATCCCAGCAGCTTTCAGGGAGTCTGGTACTAGAGCCCCATCAATGTAAGCTCGCAAACACACTTGTTGAGCCAAGGCGTCTCTGCAAGTTTCCTTCATCAGAACTGCCTAAAGGTCACCAAGGCTGCTGCAGATCGGTAGCTATAAAATGACCTGATGGCATAGTACTGTAGTTCCCTTTCATAAGAACTGAAGTCCAACTAATGTTTATAATTTAGTTGTGAAAACAACCTGGGTTTTAGGATTGTTTCTACAAGTTAATGATTTAAAAGATATTTTTTTAATTATGTGAATGTGTCTGGCTATGTGAATGAGCCCAGTGTGTCCTCAGAAACCAGTGAGGTTGTCAGATCCCCTAGAACTGGAGTGGTTGTAAGCTGCCTGATGTCAGTGACAGGAACCAAACCCTGGTCCTGTGTGAGCCACCTCTCCACCCCCAAAGTTAATGATTTTAAATGGTGGATCCTGGTGAGGAATATCCCTAATTTCCAAAGCAAACCTAAGATGTGGAATTTGAATGTAAGTAAAGCAAAAGAGAAATGAACACAAAACAGTGAATTATGCACTTTTAAAGATTTAAAAGTTTCTGGAATATTACCTAATGAAGGGCACCCTCAGGTCATTCATAGAATGAAGAGGTGCAAATATTCCTTGCTCATCCCACCACTTGTGAGCCAGGGCCAGGAAGGTTTTCACCTCCTTGCTGTCAACTGTTGCTTGTGAAGTGCTGTACAAGCTTTTCCAAGGGGACCTACGGGAGAAAACAAAGAGCCAGGCAATATTGCTGTTCTAAAAACATATGTTAAACAGAACATACTGTATAGAAAGATATTCTAATTTATTAGATTCTAAATACATATAGATAGTTCAATTTTGATACTTTAAGATCACAATCACATGCACATATAAATTCACAAGCTTTTGAGGACAAAGCCTGCCCTTCTAGGTCACATCTAATACAATACTAATAACAACAACAATAATAGCTATCACTTATTGAGTACTTACTAAAGGCCACGGACTTTCTAAGATACATGTTATTTTTGAACAACTATATTATTATCCTTATTTTATGGCCGAGAAAAGAAAAGTCCAGAGAAGTCAAGGAAGTGGTTGGGCCCCGACTTGAACACAGGTGATTCCACCATCCGCTTCCTTCTCTCCACCTCCACAGCTGTCATGGAAGCCTAAATGCCACCGTCTCCTCCCCACCACGGTCCCACTCTTCTATAGTCCAGTGGCTCCATACATTATCTGTTTCCATGATGAACTACAGAGAGATTATTCTGAAATAAAATCTAGTTAATTTCTTGTCACATAAAATGCTTTCAAGGCTTCCAGTGCCATTAGAGGAAAGACTAAAACCCTTGGCAGGAAAGGAAGCTCAGAATTATGGAGCCCCCAGCTTCCTTCCTCTCAAAACTCATTTTCTCCTCATCTCCACTAGCCATGCAGCCTTTGAACTGGCCATGCTTGCTCTTCCCTCACACGCCTTGTGTATATAGTTTCTTCTGTCCAGATCATTTTCCCTACATCCCTTCCTTTCCTCTACTAAGCACTTAAGTCTCTCATCCCTCAAATCTGAATTTAAATAGAATGTTTTCTACAAAATCTTCCTTGATACTCAACGGTGGGTCACATTCCCCCATTTTAACTCCTATGTCCCTTTGTATTTCATGGGGTTGTATAATCATCTGGTCATGTCTGTTATTCATCAGACTACCTACTGTGAAGGGAAGGCATGGACAGTATCATATCATTTTATTCCTAGGGACTAGTACAGTTCCTAGAGCATCAGTTTCTCAGGAGATAATTGTCAAATAGATAATTTGAAGGAAAGAGATCAGAAAAAGTATATAATTTGTCCTCATTCTTTTAATCACAAGAGAAAGGGAAGCAAAACAAAAATTAGACACAACACTGAGGTGCATGTCAGTACAGTGAAGAAAAATACTCCAAAGCTCTGCTTGGCCAAAGACAATTAGGCTGATGTTTCCCCTACACCCAGTCTCAAAAGTGCTCACTCACAACATGCAAGGGTGTGCACTTAAGAAGTCGACTCAGTTTTAACTAGTACTGGGAGGTATTTTTCACAAGATTAGACACTAATTTGTAAAATCTAAACACACAATTTGCTACTTAATCTTACTACCTAGCATTATCGACTTCTCTACCTTAGCATGTTCACGGTTTTGTTCTGTCACAAGGGATTACATAGAAGTAAAACATCTCCATATCCTTAATACAGCCTTCTCTCTTTCCCTTTCTTCTTTTTTTAGTGATAGAAATGGGGCTTAATGAGAAAGAAAAAGACACTCTCCAGGGTGGAAGTGAACTGGAAAGAGATGTGTCTAATCATCTATTAAAAATAAAAATTGTCTCTGAATTTGAATAAATGGCACGTGGCTATATACTGTATTTTCCTTATAACTTTTCAATAAACTTGAAGTTTTCTAAACCTAAAAATTATTACAACATAATTATTTAAGAACATTTAAATGAATAAAGGCTACTTTAATTAAACCACATGAGCTTTTACATTCTAGCCAAGTTTATTAAACATAGTCAAAACTAAACTACCATTACACATAATTATGTAAATCTCTACCAGAATAATAAATAAACTCACCTGTCAGTTTTTATTCTGGTCAAACAGGAAAAAGTCCTGCTGTAGGATCCAAACCACATGGTCCTGTGTTCACTGAATTCCCATGGCTTAATCTGTAGATTCCTAGTGAGCTGATTCCCTGAGTTAGCTGAAAGCAAAGATTAAGTATCCAGAGAAAAAGCATGTAATTCCTGCTATGAACATAGTTGAAAATTTTTTATATGGCATTCTTACAGCGTATTGCAACTGATAAACAAATGAGTTTCTTAATTTGGGGTTTAGTTAAAAGAATAAAAGTGTCTTTCTTCCATCTAAAAATTAAAATTATCAAAATTAAGTAGTGAATATGTAAAATCTGTCACTGTTTTTTTTAACATTTATTTGTGTGTGTGTGTACGTGTGTGTGTGTGTGTGTGTGTGTGTGTGTGTGTGTGTGTGTGTGTGTATACACGTACGCACATGACTGTGGAGGCTAGAAAAGGATGTTGGACCCCCTGGAGCTGGAGTTACAGGCAACTGTGAGCCATCTGACATGGGTGCTGGGAACCAAATTCCAGTCCTCTCCAAGACCAGCAAATGTTCTTAACCAATGAGCCACCTCTCCAGTCCCTGCCATTAATTTTTACATCTACACACGTTGCATTAAAAAAAATCACAAAATATATTCAAATATAAACTATTTCATCTTTTACACTAAAATATTAATTTCTAGACTGTCAAAACTAGTTCAAATTCTACCAGTTCCATGCTACATGAAATGGTTTTTTAGAGATGCTTTTTAGAGAGCAACAAAAGTTGGTGTGTGTGTATGTGTGTGTGTGTGCGCGTCCTAAAATAAAAACTCATAGACTGTATGTTCAAACTTACAGAGACATGCTTAATGGATTATCCTGTTGTTCAATTAATATTTAGACAAAGTATCCTAGAGACAAAGATGACATTAGTCAGGACAAAAGACAATCCACCAAGATGATAAAGCAATTCTAAATGTGTATGTACCAAACAGTGGAATTTCAAAACAAATAAAGCAAAATTAACAGAACTGAAACAAGAAAAACACAAACCCACGGCTATAGCGAGGGCCAACACTCCTCAGGAAGTGGAACAACCAACAGAAAAAAGTCAGCAAGGACACAAAACTGAACGCTGTTGAGCAATACACATAACTGAAATTGTGAAACGCGCCACGCAAACTTCAACAGAATCAACATTCTCTCAATCAGTCATAGACCATTTAAAAAGATAAGACCAAACTGTCATTATTTAACCTCTAAAGAAGGTTAATAAATAAATTCTTTATTTAGTAAAATAAAGAATCTAACCAGATTCACAGTTAAAAGCCTTCTAAAACATGTCCAGGCTCAGATAGTTCCACAAGAGAATCTCCTCTGCAAGGACAGCAAGTGCTCTTAACCACTGAGCCATCCCTCCAACTCCCAAAGGAATCTTACATTTTAGCAAAGCTCCTGGAAGAAGAAGTAACAAACAATGCTATCCAGTCTCTTCAATAAAGCACAGCAGCGGTGGGCAGTGGGTGTCGACAGAACACACTGCAATCCCAGCACTTGCGAAGCCGAGAAAGGAAGATTGCAAGATGGAGGTCAGCCTGTGCGACATGGTAGCCCTACTTGTTTTGTTTTGTTATTTTTTTCTTTTCTTATTAAGGCTTATGTTTGTTTTGATTATTTATTTATCTATTTGAGAGAGGGAAATAATATGAAGTTGGGGAGTGGGTAAGATCTAGGAGTAGTTGGGGGAAGAGAGTATGATCAAAATATATTTTATGAAAAACATTTAAATAAAAAAAATTTGAAAACCACTCAAGAGGCAGAGACAGTTGAATCTCTGCGTTCCAGGCCAGCTTGGTCTACAGAGTGAGTTCTAGGACAGCTAGGGCTACACAGAGAAACTCTTGAATGCCGCCCCCCCCCCCAAAAAAAAAACTGAAAACAATAAAACAAGACAAAACCTCTAACAATGCAGTATACTTCCCAACTTGTTTTAGAAAGCTAGAATTACTTTAAAAACCAAAGAAGATTACAGATTAATTTGCTTAAAGAGCAGATATAAAAATATCAACAAATTCTAGCAAATAAGATCTAGCAATATATAGAAAAGTAATAAAGCATGGCCACACTGGCTGAGAGGCAGATGAAGCAGTTTAAAAAACCCACACCCATCCAAGATGAAAACTCAACAAATAAGAACAGAAGGGAACTTAGTTTCCAAGGCACCTATAAAAATCCTATAGTTCACATATAACTTAAATGATAAAAGAGTGAGATGCTACCCACATCAGGAACACAATCTTAGCTGTGGCAATAAAGCAAGAAGAGGAAGCAAACCGCACAGGATGGAAAGAAAGAAACGTAATGGCTCCTACTGTCTATGTAGAAAGTCACAAGGAGTCTTAAATTTATTATATTTTTTTAGTATTTATTCATGTTTACCTTGTGTGTATGAGTGTTTTGCCTGCATGTAAGTGGACTTTGCGTGTGTGGTGTATACAGAGGCCAGAAGAGGGTATCAGATACCCTGGAACTGGATTTCAGGGATGAGCTACCACGAAGGTGTTGGGAAACGAACCCAGGTCCTCTGAAAGATCAAGTGCGCTCTTATCTTACATTTAAATGGAAGCTCCTTGAATTAAAGATTTGAGGTCGACAAACTGAAACAAGCAGTAGGAAAAAAAAATGAAAAATGTAACATCAGCCAAGCAAGATGGCTCAGCAGGTAAACATGTGTGCCATCAACCCTGATGACCTGAATTCAATCCTTGGGACCCACATAGTGGAAGGAGAGAATGGATTCCCACAAGCTGTCCTCTGACCTGGACAGGTGTGCCATGGTATGCACCCACACCCCCTCCCACACACAAAATAAAATGTGAAAAATAAAAAATAAACTCACTGATGTTCATGTAAGCAACCCTTATTGAACTCAGTGAGCCTCACACAGAGAAAGACCTCACAGTAGATGGGGGGACTGGTGAGGGAGAAGGGATTCTTCAGGAATGGAAGGGAGAGGAGAGAGAATAATGGGGAATGACTACGATCAGTGTGTGTGTGTGTGTGTGTGTGTGTGTGTGTGTGTAATTGTGAAAGGATACAACAACTGTTCAATATTAATGAAAACTAGGAATAAAACAAATGAAAGCCACTGTGAGACGCACACACCTATCAAACTGTATAAAATTTGAAAATACTGGTATCATCAAATGAAGAGCAGGAATGAAGCAACTATATCTTTCATATGTTAAGAGTAGGCATGGAAAATAGTACAGCCACTCTGGAAAGCAATTTAGCAGCTCCTGATAAAGTAAAACATGTGCTTAATGTGCAATTCAGCAACTGTACTATGTGAGCACTAATCTCAGAGAAGTGAAATGTATATTCACACAAACCAATATATGAATTATATATGTATATACATATATTTGTGTGTGTGTGTGTGTGTGTGTGTGTATGTGTGTGTGTGTGTGTGTGTGTGTGTGTGTGTGTGTGTGTGTGTGTGTGTGTTGCTTTTTCAAGACAGAGTTTCTCTGTGTGGCCCTGACCATCTTGGAACTTGCTCTGTAGATTAGGATGGCCTGGAACTCAGAGATCTGCCTGCCCCTGCCCCTGCCCCTGCCCCTGCCCCTGCCCCTGCCCCTGCCCCTGCCTCTGCCTCCTGGGTGTTGGGTTAAAAGGCGTACACCACTGCCCACCTTATATAAGAATATTTTAACAACTTTATTTATAAGAGCTTCAAACTGAAAACAACAAAAATGAACCACAATAGCCAGCTAGAAACTGTGGAATAACTATACTCAAAAGTATAACGATAAACTATACTCAGAAATTATAACTATAAACTATATCCAGAAAAAAAGGCATATATTGACACATGCAGACTTAGATGAATTTAAGGGTATTCAGACTAAGTGAGAAAAATCCTCAGTATCAAAAGAAACATAGTATATAATTCCATTTATGTAATATTTAAAATTTTGTTTGCTCCTTTGTTTGTTTTTGAGACAAGGTCTCACTACATGCCCTGGCTGGCCTGCAACTTACTATGTGCACTAGGCTGGCCTCAAACTCATAAAGATCCACTTGCCTTTGCCTCCTGAAAGCTAGGATTAAGTTAAAAATTTTTTTTCAAATATGTATGGGTGTTTTGCATGTATGTATGTCTGTGCACTACTACAGTGCCTGGGGCCTGCAAAGGCCAAAAATGGGTACAAGGTCCCTTGGAACCAGGGTTACAGACAGTTATGCTCAACCATGTGGGTGTTATGAACAGCCATATGGGTGTTGTAAATTGACCAGAGGTACTCTGGAAGAGCGGTGAGCAGTGTTACCTACTGAATCACCTCTCCAACCCCCACGTATATAAATAACACTTTTGAAATGATGTGGTGATATTTTATTTGTGCACCCCAATAAAGCTTGCCTGGGGATCAGAGGAAAAAGCCAGCCACTATATTAAACATAGAGGTCAGGCAGTGGTAGCACATGCCTTTAATCCCAGCACTAGTTAACCACAGAGGTCTGGAGGTCTATATAGACAGACAGGAAGTGACAGAGCTGGGCGGAAAGAGGAAGTAAGATGGCAGGGCACAGAAAGGTATGTAGGTGTGAGTACAGGAAGTAGCTCTCTCTGGAGTTGGTAAGGTGAGGTTGGCTGTGGCTTGTTCTGTTTCTCTGATCTTCCAGCTTTCACCTCAATATCTGGCTCTGGGTTTTTTATTAATAAGACTGTTTAGCAATTTGTCTTACAAAATGACAAAATTATAGTTACGGAAAACACATCAATGGGAGTTTTGGATAAGACAGCAGACTAGAAGCTACTTCTATGAGAACTGATGGAGAATGTCAGAATAACGGGGAAAATAGGCTTGATTCCAAAGAGAAATAGAGGAAATGCTTTGGAAATCCATGAAGTGGAAAGAAACTAGAATAGAACAGAAATAAAGAACCCTGCCACAGATAAGCAAGCTGAACACAGCCCCAGCCATACCTCAGCTGCTTCCAAAATGTCAATCAGATAAGATCCAGGAAGTCCCACCCTCAGGTCAATGCCTCAAATTCAGCAACAGGCTTTGGGGAGATCGTGGCTCCTCTGAGGCACAGTTTAGCAGCACCAAAGAAAAATCCCACTTTGTCA